CGTTCGACGGGTGGACGGATGGACGGACGGACCGACCGTTCGACGGGTGGACGGACGGACGGACCGACCGACCGTTCGACGGGTGGACGGACGGACGGACCGACCGACCGTTCGACGGGCGGACCGACCGCATTACATACGTGTAAGGTTAGTAAAATAGCATGAAAAAAATGGTACTTTAGCAGAATATAGTAGATAAAAAAAAAATATTAGTATAGACAAATAAAGTGAAGTAACAAGGTACTGTAATAATAAAAACATATTGAAATAAAGTGGAAAAACAGTACTTCTCATACTGTCTAATTCGGTAAAACAAAGAGAGAAAGCGAGTACATTATAGTGTAACACATAAGCGCATAGGCCTACCTGAGTTTCGGTGAGATTCAGAGCTCGCGCTAGTTCCTTGCGCTCGGCACCGACGACGTAATGATTATTATCGAATGCATGCTCCAACCGCAACAGCTGCGTCGGACTGAACGCAGTCCGTATCCGCTTCGGTTTGCGGAATGGTTGGAAAAGAAATCCGGCTTCTTCCGGTCCTGAAATATTCGAAATGGTGTCGCTGCTACTAGTTGTGTATCGATAAGTGACAAAACAAGATTTTACCTGCAGTGTATGGTTATCGGTTTACCTGAGTGGCATGATTAGTTGGGCGTTAACCTAAACAATATTTGATATCTAAGCGCTCGCTTAATTATGTTCATTTACTGATATTTGACTGATTATGTACTAATTGATTATTACTAATAGCGAGCTACCTGGAATGATTATTTAGTGGTTATACCTGTGTGAATTTATTTACCTGTGTTTATTGACCCACCTTTGTTTCGTGTTGAGTGATTGGCATGTCTATGCTGATATATAATTATCCTTATAGTTTATTAACGAGTGCCACATTTGTTTTCTATATCATTCTTTGTTATTTCTCATCTAAATTTTTATCATCTTTATTATTATTATTATTATTATATATATATATATATATATATATATATATATATTTATTTATTTATAGATTGCAGGTAAACTCACACGCACGGCACACGGTATCGACTGATTGTGTAATGTGACCTTTTAATTTCCCGTAATTACGTGACGGTGTCGCGCATACAATGCCGCCGCTCGTCGCTCATTGCTTACTCGCTGCCGTAGCTCGCGTGGCTTGTTGCGGCGCAACGTCTGTGATTCTTTGTCACACAGCGGCCGCTTACGTGGCGAGCATCGACTCCGTGTTGCAATAGGGATGTGCGTTGATTAGCGGTATACGCGCGATGGGTTTATTCGATTGCTTGTATTTAGGAGCGAAAATGATATGATTCTGATGTTCACTGATATTATATGATTTATATGATTCAATGGCACATTATTGACCGACCGTCTGACTGATCGACGAACGGGCGGACGGACGAAAGGAAGGACCGACCGACCGACCGCCCGACCGACCAACCAACCGACCGACCGACCGACCGACCGACCGACTGACCGACCGACCGACCGACCGACCGACCGACCGACCGACCGACCG